GCAGGCAGGCGGCGTAGGCGTCGAAGGCCACTGCGCGCAGCGCGCACACGTGCTCGGCGCGGCAGCCGGCGCCGCAGGCCTGCAGGTCATAGCTGACGGAGTTGTAGACGTAGTAGCGCTGCAGCGCGGCCTGCTCGCTGGAGATGCGCTTCAGAGCCTCTTGCATGGAGCGGGCGCCGGCGTCGCGCACCCGGTAGGCTTCTGTCACCCGATACTCGAGCTCCCAGCGCGGAGTCCCTTGCGCGTTTGCCTGGCTCAGGTTGACGAAGTAGGTCACCATGTCCTGGAGACAGCGCGAGTGGGCCGGCAGTGAGCAGCCTTCCGCGCCCACGCCCAGCCCACGCTCACCCCTTACAGCGGTAATAGTGACCACTGTGTGACTGAGCATTTGCTACTGGCCGGCCGCGCCGGCTTGGCACACCTGATTGAGTCTGGCCAGGTAACCGCGCTTATGACCCCACTTCACAGGTGAGGAAACTGAGGCATACGAGGCAGTGCCTTTGGGCAGGAACCTACAAATGGCAGGCATGGGGTTGACCCCATGGCCCGTGCAGTTTCTGTCCCATGGACACAGAAGATGCTCAGTAAATATTTACAAAACAAAGGGATTAAAACAAATTCAAGCGGGCCCTCCCTAGTGGCACAGGGTTTAACTATGAAGCTGTCAGCAGCCATGCAGCACGAGTTCGATCCCCGGCCAGGGAGCTGACCCGCATGGCGCAGCAGGCCTCTCCTGTCTCCCCCGCTGCTTCCCTCAGCAGCGTGTCCCCTCTGTCAGGGCAGCGCTGAAGGCAGGAAGAGCAGGTCAGGGGCTGTAACCCAGCCAAAAGGGAGACTTGGGGAGAAGGAAATGACCCGGCTTGGCAGGATTTAGAGGTGACTCCAGGGTTCCACACCGAGCTCTAGAGGCACCAGGAGAGGAGGGGCTGCTGCAGACAGCACGAGGGAAGGCAGTCATGTGTCAGCCCCCGCTCCGCTTCCTCTCTGGCCCTGCCCTGCAGACCCAGGCCCCTCACCTGCAGGCTCAGTGTGGCCCGGTCGTATTCGAACACCCGGATGCCTGGATTGTTGGCCCCGTTGACCACTCCAGGCAACGTGGTTTTCCATGGCGTGACCCCAGGTGTGAGGAACATGACGCTGATGGGGGCACCTTTCAGGAGAGAAAGCGGTGCTGAGAGGCGGGCGAAATAGGAGGGGCTGGCCGGAGCCTCCGGGGCGAGTACCTGCGTCATCGTAGAACATCCGGAAGCTGTCGGTGTGGTGGTGCCCGAAGAACTGCCCCGCGATGACCCCGTGGTGCTTGCGGACCACTTTCAGGTACTCCTCGTTGAAGCCCTCCCGGAACCAGGCTTTGTTCCGCGTCTTCTCAAAGAACCCCGGGGGCACGTGGCCAATGATGTAGACCTATGAGGGAGGGTGCCCAGGAGCGGCTCAGAGACCCCTTCCCCAGCCCCCATTTCCACCTCCCCAACTGCCCATCCCCCCAAAGGCAAGCAGACGGGCTCCATTGTACTGCTCCCCAGAGCCCCCTTCCCCCTCCCAAAACCCCTCCGGAGTTCCCTGTACCCAGAATGCATCCTGTGCTGCCCGACCCCTGAGCCCTTGCGTGGCTGTGCCCCGCACCAGGTCCCTTCTCCTTTTCTCCTGCTCTCCTTTCAGCTTCCAGGGCCCCTCCTCATGGTAATTCCGGACCCTGCGGGGCCCAGGCCTCTTCTCTTGGCAATCTCGGAGAGTATCAAAACCTTCCTGGCCTGGCTGGGCAGCACATGCTGATTAACGGTGGGGGGGAGGCAATTAAGAGAAGACTGTGGAGTCAGCCTGCAGCTTGGACTGCAGCTGTTGGGCCTCAGTGCTCTCACTGGGGGTAACATCTATGGGGGTGGGGGGTTGAGAGCTAGATGAGTTCCTCCATGTAAAGCCACATGCCTGATGCACCATCCCTGAAGTCCTGTAGGACATGCAGGGACACTGGTGAATGGGAGAGGGGCTGGTCCTGGGAAGCCACCAGCCATGCTGACTAGATCAGCACCCCTCGAGGGCAAGGCGTGGCCTGGAACTGTGGGGCGTGATATGCACTGCCACGTGGACAGAGTGGACAGGAGCGCTGGCCTTGGAGTATGCAGATGGGAGTCCTAGAGACAGCCCCGCCTACCACTCGTTGTGTGACTGGGGGTTGTCATCACCCCTCAGGAGCCTCACATCCTCAATGGGCTCTGGGTTCCCAGTTTCATGGCTGTTATAGGGACAGTAGAAGCTCCCACCTGATGACAGGCGGATGAAGGACCCTCTGGGCTGTGGTCGTGTCAGGTGGGTCCATGAGCTTCTGTGGAGGTGGGAAACTTGCTCGGGAAGTGACCCCAGAGGGCGGAGAAGGGGCAGACACCCTTACCATTTCCTTCGCTTGGGAGGCACGGGTCAGCACATCTTCCAGCCACTGGAACTGCTGACCAGGGTCAGACATGCCAGCCGTCTGCTTGTTGTTGCTATAGTACAAGTTGGTGTTGAGGACCACGATTCGCCCCGCCCTGCCGAGCCCTGGCAGTCTCTCAGAATAGAAGGCACCTAGGGCGGACATCACGGCCAGGGAAGCTCGGAAGGGCCCACTGCCTCTGCACCTCCATCCCCTCCATCTTACTCTCCCTCTTCTCCTTCCCTTGCGTCCTCTCTCCCATGCTCCCCATAGGAGGGCCATCATGACCAAAGGCTCCAGCACCAGGCTGCCTGCCTTCACATACTGGCTCTTTAATATATCACCTGTGCAACCTGGCTACTTCACCTCTCTCTGCCTCATCTGTAGAATGGGGATAATAGGAGGTAATGTTTGCCCCTTTAAACACTAGGAAGAGGAAGGGCGTCCTTGTTCTCATTTAACCCTTTCCACTCAGGTCTCTGCCCCATGGGCTAAATCAGTGTATATCTGCATTGCAGGCTTCTGGTTGGGTGTCAGTGGGGTCCCCAGCAGCTGGGGGCTGGGGAAATAGAAGAGTAGGTCAGGGCTACCTTGGCATGACTTGTGTCTCCAGACCTGTGGCTCTCAACCATGCCCACGATTCTGACCTTGTCTGGAGTCATTTTGGGTTATTGCAACTGCAGGTGTTACTGGCATAGTGGGCGGAGGCCAGGGATGCCATTGAACATGCCACCAAGCACAGGACATCCCCACACCAAGAACTCTCTGGCCCAAAATGTCCGTAGTGACCAGGCTGAGAAGCCCCACCTAGGATTGTTGCATAGTTGTGGGCTGAGAGCTCAATATATATTCACTCTGGGTCCTCAGGAGTGGGGTAAGGTCAACCCAGGCTCCTCTTCTAAGCTGGGTGACCAATACCAAGAGATTTGGTATCTTCCAGTCTCGGGCTCCTTATCTATAAAATGGGCATCGTATCAGGAACTATACTATGTAAAGAGGACATTTGGCCAGACTGGCACACTGGAAGCACATCAGTAGCAAATGATGATAGTACCTTTTTTGAAGAGAGCAACAGACTCATTACTGAGCCAGGGCCTCCACAGTTCTGCCACCCGGTTGTAGATATTATTGCTCTCTGCTGGGAACTGGTTTTTGGGGTGAAAGTCATGGTTGCCCAAAGCAGCATAGACTTTAGTATCTGGGTGGAAAAAAGAAGCACAATAATGTGTATGAGAAAGCACTCAGTGGAGTTCCAGCCAGCACTCATAGGAAGGGCACTGCACAGATAAGGAAAACAGAGGTGGCTGAAACCACACTTGATAGATCTGGTGGGACGGTCCCCAGGCCTCAGAAGGGAGAGCAGGGAGCCCCATTGCTAACCCACCCCCAGCAGAGTTTTCCAGTCAGAAGGAAACAAGCTGCAAGAAGGAGAAAGCAAGACCTAAATCAAAGTAATGCTGAGCTCTGGTATCGGCCACTTAGCAATTGAGTGTTCTTGTTCTCATCATTCCAGACCTACCTGACTGTAGGGGAGGGCTCTGATTCACTCCAGGAGGCCTCCGGACTTTCACTGTTTCTCACATCAACGAGTATTTATTGAGCTCTTAGTGTATACCAAAGCAGAGACCAGGGAAGGAGTGGGGGGATGCCAGGCTCCCTGTTAAGTTCAGAGGCCTTGCAGTACTGAGTACTGAGAGTTGTCAGCATAGGGAAGAACTGCTTGCTGCAGATGAGAGGTGTGGTCAGGGGAGGCTCCCTGAGGAAAGGGAGCTAAAGACTAGGAAGAGGAAGGGCGTCCTTGTTCTCATTTTAAAACCTCCACACATGGGTGTGCCTTATCACTGACTGAGACTAGGGAACACTGGCATACTTCAGTTGACAGCAGGTTTTTTTTTTTTAAGATTTGTTTTATTTATATATATATAAATAAAGCTGTAGACATAAAAGTGGTTAAGCTGATAAATTCACATCATGCATTCTTTTAACTACTATATATATATATATATAAAAGAACTGAGGTATAGTAGGCCAAAAGTGTGGGTGGGTGAGAGGACTCACCAGAGACAGAGTGGGGAGCAGAACAGACAGATCAACTGAAATACCCTGCTGAAGTGAGCAGCAGCTGAGACAGGAGAGGTCTGCTGTGCCATATGGGTCAGCTCCCTGGCCGGGGATGGAACTCATGCTGCAGTGACTGCAGATAGCTTCACAGTGCTGTGACTTAACCCCTTGTGCCACCAGGAAGGCCCAGGATCATTTTCTTATCCATTATTTCATTTTTATTCTGGAATCCCACGTGGAATAGAGGAGAGTGTGCTGAGTTGGACCTGAGTTTGCATCTCTCCCTGAGAACTGAGTAGCTCTGAGCCAGAGGTTCCTTATCTAGAATAGAGGATAACATCTATCATTGAGACTGGGGAGTGGGGAGAGAATGTCCTCCCTCCGTCCTAAGTAGTGACTTCTGCTGGAAGAACTAACAGGGACAAGCATGTCTGAGCTGGGTTGGATTACACAGACTGGAAGCCTCCACACAACTCTGCATAACACAGCTCCATGTAAGATGAGGGAAGGAGGTGGCAGAAAGGAGAAAGACGTGGCTCGTGTCACTCGGAGAGTGACAGTGGGTATGGTGAAGAGCAGGCTTTGAATCTCTAAAGGTCTCCACCAGTTACTTGACTCCAAAACTCTCATTTCTCATTGCTAAACCTGACAGCAGTAGCATCGCTCTCTAGAATTACACGACAGTGAATGAACCAAAGCATACAGTATTCCTGGGAATGCCCAACTCTTAGCCCTCCACGCGTAAGGTATTGCTGCTGTTGCTGCTGCTGCAATTAATTATTTTTATGAGCATTATTTCATGTCTGGGGCCTGGCAACTCCTGAGACCTTTAGAGGAAGTAGCTGTACCAGAACTCAAGGGAAGGGGCTGCTTTGTCAGGCCCCCAGCGGACAGCGTAAGAGCCTGATCAGCCCCCAGTGGGCACAATCTGCTTAAAGACATTTTCAAGGGCCATCAGGTGAGGCATCCAAATCCCTTCTCCCAGCCACATCCTGGGGCTGCTACTGTAATCACAGTTCTGCTTGCTCCCCCACGCTCCAAAGTCTTTCAAACCACCAAAATGCCTTGGCTGGAAACCAGCCTTGCCTGGAGGTCCCAGCAGTGGGAAAGGTTTGTGAGCAATGAATGGCAACAGCAGGCCAGAGCTGGAACACCTGAGGTGTGTGTGTCCATGAGAGACTTGCCCAGAGGCAATGCAGCCACGCTACGGTGTGGCTGCACACACCCTGAGAAGGAGCCAGGAGCCTGGTGTCCGCCAGGAGAGCCAGAGGCAGTGAGAGGTCAGGCACTCCTGCTAGTGGGGTTCGGTGTGTGCCCAAGGCTGCTGAGCTGCACCCCTTGCAGGTTGTTGGAGGGTAAGAAGTGAGTGCCTTGGGGGGAGGACCCTGGCGAGGACCCTGGGGGCCCATGGAGTACTCTGGGACCCAAGGGCCATCACTGTCAGAGGATAAAGTTCATTGCTCTGTCTGGCTGCCACGGTCCCTCTGTGCCAGACACTGCCGGGCCAGGAGGTGGGGACGGAGAGTGTTACCTGGAAAGACCTCTCTGATGAGCGCGGTGAGGCGTTCCACGATTCCCAGCACGGCTTCCTCTCCCAGCTCATCGTTGGGCACATGAGGGGTGTCATCACTGCAAAACAGCGCAGTCAGCTAAGGGCAGGCAGCTTGGGAGGGCACCAAATAGGAGGGGGTGGCTCTGCCTAGAAACAGGGACTGCGGGGGGGATGGCTGGGCTGGAGTTGGGGCCATGCAGAACAGTTCACACCCAGGTTGTGCCACTGGCCTGCTCCCTGAGCCCCTGGCCAGTCATTTAACCTCTTTGAGCCTCCATCAGCTCACCTGAAAATGGGGGTATAGATGGTACCTACTCAGAGTATTTGTGAGACTTCAGCAAGGGGGGGTTTATAGATTTGAAGTGTGGAACAGTAGCTGGTGACAGTTACTATTATTCTTGCTTAGAGCAGGGAGCCTTAGAGTTCCAGTTCCATCTGTAAATCCCCATGGAGCTCAGGGTAGAGAAACTGCCTTACTTCTGCTCCTTTCCCTGAGGGTCCAAAGGAGTTTGAAGCTGATTTCAGAGCACAAAATACAGGTCTACACTGCAGCAGATCCAGTCCTGCCCCAGGACCATTTAATCCTGTTTCACCTAACTTCCTGGACCTACCTTAGAGATGCTTAAGAGAGGAACAGAGCAGAGGCCTCCCTGGTGGACCAGCACATGGGGGACTCCACCGCCGCTGAAGCACAGATCTGATCCCAGCCAGGGGGCTGACCCACATGGTGGGCAGATCTCTCCTGTCTCGCCAGCTGCTCCCCTCAGCGGTGTATCTCAGTCAATCTGCCTGCTCTGCTCCCCTTTATCCCTGTAAATTTCTCTCACCCCTACACTTCGGGCCTGTACCCCAGTTCTTCTATGCCCCAAAAAAAAAAAAGGAAAGAAAGAAAGGTAAAGAAATTCTACCTAAGGTGTCTACAACTAGAAAATGGGGAGCCAGGATCTGAACCCTGTGTGGCTCATACCTGCTACCTCCTACTGTGTCTCTGCGATCCTCATTCAAGCAGCAAAAGTAGCCTTTAACCCTGTCCTGAGGAAAAGACCACAAATTCAATGACTTCACAACAAAATTCCATTTTACTTCCTAGTTTGGAAGCTCTAATTCAATCTGATAGAAAACACATCCATTTCCTATATGTTATCTCTCCAAGGGGTTCTTCTCTCTAAGAAGTCAAGTTTCTTAGAAATTGAAGAATTATTGGGAGCCCTGGAAGCCATCTCACCCAGTGTCACAGACCTCTGCATGTCCCAGAGTGTTCCCAGATGACCCAGGCTTCTGTTCAGGGGCCATGAACTTCCTGCGAGTCTTTCAGAATGTCACCTGTTTGTCCAAGGACTGACACAAGCTATGCAATGTCCATCGTCCTGACAGATTCCGGGTGGATCGGGATAAGTTCTGAAAAATCAGACTGTCCACTGCTAACTTATGTTATGACCTCCCTTTTTTGTATAAACATAATATCAAAATATTCTGAGCAACATTCAGTTTATAACTGGATTGTCTTAGCCACACAGGCGGCTGCCTGGTTCAGGCAAGCTGCCCCAGGAGAAATTCCTCTGTCTCCTGAGACAAAAGGCAAGCCCCAGGAGAAATAAGATCCCAGGACATAAAAACTCCTGGGAAGCTTCCTTGGTTTCTTTAAATAAAAAAGCAAACCTCAGATAAGGCTCCCAGGGCATAATGGACAAATTTTAACCTTGACTACACAGGTGTTGTTTGATACACAACTGTACAACTTTCTCTTAATTTACTCCTTTTTAAAACAAGCACTAACTACTCTCTGGTAGCCTTAAATTAGCTAACTAGCTTTTCTTTAGACATCACTGCTAACACTGCTAACACAATTTATTACTACTCCAAGACCCCTAACAACCTTTTGCTAACAAACTCACCCTTTCCCAGACCCCTCTTCCTTTGAGTGATATGTAGACAGCTGTATACATGATAACTGTCACAAAACGTATAATCTATTATACCATAAATTGTTAAGGGAAGAATGCTTTTTCTCCTTGTCCTTGAGAATGTTTTATGGAGATGTCTCATTAACTCACCCTATGCGTTATTACAATTAGCTACTTGCTACACAGTATAAATAAAGACCTGCTGAAGGGATAGCAGGAAGACTTGCATCCTATCCTGACTCCCGTGTCTTCCTCGCACCCGCTCCTGTCTCCCCTTTTGGAATATCCGCTCGCCCTTGCCTTCCCATCTTAGGGTCCTGCCTGTGCTGCCTCCAGACACCTCAAACGTTGGAGCTAGTCTCCGACAAAGAACCCCTCCTTGGAGAAGCTGCCCCGTTCACACACACTGAGAACCCTCAGTGGAGAGGAGCCCAGAGTCACAGCCTGCAGCACATTCTGGTAGAATGATCCCTGAGGCCCCGGGGAGCCAGAGCTGTCAGCTCCTCCAGAGACACATCACTGATGTCCGGGCTGCCCCGCCTCTGCCTGCCTGAGGGTCATTCCTGGTGACTGGTCAGTAGTACTGAGGAGCCGCTGGGGGCATTGGCTTGATCTTTCCTTTTACAATAGAAGTGTCCACTGAGGTTGGAAGGGGCAGCCAGAGTCAGAGGTCCTTTCAGCCTTCCTCGCCAGCTCTGGCTCCCGCTTTCTGCAGTCTAAGTCCCACCCCATCTGGCAGATGAAGCCAGCTGCCCTGTGAAGGCACCACGTCCCCACGCCCTGTGACCCCTCCCCTCTGGGATAGAATGATCAATGGGCTTGTTTATATGGTCCACAAGACCGTGAGCTCCATGAAGGGGAGTCCAGGTCACCCTCATCTCAGTTCCCCAGCGGTGAAGGGGGCCTTGAGTGAGTGACCAGGAAGGAGTGTCCGGGAGAGCCGGAGGACTTACAGCAGCGGCCTGGATGAGAAGCCACTTGAGTCCAGGGGCTGAGCAGAAACACCCCCATGTACCTCAGATTCCTGACCACTGAGAATTCCCAGAGCCAGGCGGCACGAAGTAGCCAGCAGCTGACAGGCTGCTGGATCCCCTTCCCCTCCTTCCTTTCCCTTTACCCTCCCCCGCCCCCATATTTGGATCTCTAGGGCTTGGACTCCTTGGATCCCAGTGGAGGTGGCTACTGTGCTCACCCTCCAGTGGGCAGTGTCCCCGTGCCCACCCTGCCATCCTCAGAGGCAGCTGCTTCTCCTGAGGCCAAGAAGTCAAGGCCCTGGGGCAGACTTGGGAGTCTGCCAGGCCCAGGGGCCCTTGGGCGAGCTATCTCACTCCCTGCGGGCAGGTGTGAGGATGAAGAGATAGTGAGGGGAAGGTGCTGGGCTGGCACGTGGCACATGCCAGGGCCCAGGGAGCACATCTGAGGTCCTGGTTGCTCTCACCCAGTCCAGAGGATGAAGTCTGGCTCCGGCTCAATCTCCTTCATGGCGTGAATGGAGGAGTTGATCAGGACCCAGGGAGAATCGCAGAGGTAATCACCCCAGGGGCCCGCGTTGGGCACTGGCTGGGAGCCGGCTGATGGGCACACCTGGAGGGGGGTTCCGGATGCATTGTAGTTGGGGTCAAGGTGCAGGTCAGAGATGTGCCAGAACTTCCCTACAGGGGAGACAAGACCCTCCCTCAATGCTTGGCCTCCTGTGAGCCTGAATGGGGGAGTCTGGGGCTACCCTGAGTTGCAAAGTGAAAGGAAGTTTCCTCTGAGCCCAGGACTTAAAGAAAAGAGCCATGGGTCTGGCTTTGTCCTGGAAAACAGAGGTCGGGGAATGACTGCTCTGTTCCTACCCTGTGCTCTTCAACAAGGCTCTTTTTATCTCCCCACCCAGGTAGAACATAAGGGATTGGGCTGTTTGACCCCACGAACCCTTTTGGAGTTCAAAGCAGAGTGCTCGTATCAAAGCAAAGGGAAAGTGTTGGGGTTAAGTGCTCAGGTTTCTAGACTCACAGACTGACTGTGTGACCTTCAGTGAGTTGCTTCACCTCTGAATCCACAACTAGAGCCACATCTTATCACACTCCAGAGAAATACATCTAAAACTCAGGTTGGGCTGAATTCCTTCTGTTTGTTAGTGCTTCTGGGTGCAAGCTGGCAGCGGCCAGTGGTCCTGCATGCCGTGGAAGTTGACCAAAGTTGGGGCTCGGCCCTAAACCAACGGAGGCTGAAATACCGAAAACCTCTTGTTGCAATACAGACAAGAGAATATACGGAAGTAGGAGTCAGGGTGCACAGGAAATCATCCTGCAGCCCTCGTGGTCCTTCTAAATGGGCAAGTAATCAAACCAGCATCAGACAGATTGATGAAGAAAAGACAAAAAAGTTTAATAATAGCATGGGCACCTCCTTCACGGGCAGGACCCAGCACAACTGAGCTGCTGGGCCACCAGGCTGCAGGTGCCGTTTACATAGCTCGGCTAACAGTAGGGAGGCTGGAGGAGAGAGAAAGGAAGGCCAGTTAGGGAGTTTACCAAAGAAAGCACAGTGTTTACAGATTTCAGTTCTGCCTTCTCCAGGGACAAAGGAGAAGGTGATCAGATCAAGGTGTTTTTCAAAAGTAACCTCCACCCAGCTGCAGGGCCCTGCCCATGAAATAAAGCTTTTGCCCAAAAGACATATTTTAGGGTGGTAGTTTTGCTCCCCTGCATAAGCTACATGAAGCAATTTCATCCTCTGTATGTACCCAGCACTGCTATCAGAAGTTCAGTGGTTTCTTAATGGAGGGCTTAACAGGCTTACCAGGTGTAGCTTCTGCCATGAGCCCTAGCTTTCTGGCTCAGACAAGGTTGAGGACTGGGCTTTCATCATTTTTGTCACTTCCTCCATTTCATGTGTCACTCAGAGCCAACGGTCAACCTCACCCCACCCCAGGACACTGGACCTGGCCTGGGCTCTTCTGTTGCTGTTTGCATTTAATAGCCAGGATGCCACCCAAGCCGTAGGACACTCAGTGTGACGCTAGGACAGGCCTCCGGTCAAGCCCCATCCCTGATCCTCACACCCTGACATTCCTCAGATGCTTCTGAATATCTAGTCTAAATCTGGTCTCGGGAGGATCAGCTCTTCGGTCACACTACCAGCAAATGACTGATTAATCCTCTCTTGAGCTCTATGCAACCTTTTCAACCAGCCTTGGGGGTACTGTTCATTACCCCCATTTTACAGATAAGGAATCCAAGGTCAAGAGATCAGCTTGTCCGAGACCACAGGGGAAGTGGTGGAGGCCCTGTGGCTCCTGCAACTCTCCCAGAGAGATGTGATTGCTAATAAGATAAAACTGGTGCTTTTTAAGTTTAGATGTCTCTTTTTAGACAGTCTATGCCTAAATTCTTATTTTTTACCCAAGCTAAGAGACTTTGTTTATAATGGCAGAAATTTAAACTTCTCACATAAACCAAGATCATTAATATAGGTAAAATGATTTCTACAGGGACAAAGTCCTAAGCTGGAGGAAAGAAACTCACTTCAGCTCTAAGCGGGCGGAGTAGGTGGGACTTCTCAAGTCCCTGCCCTGATACAGTGAGTCACGTCCAACTAGCCAGGCCGGCCGCATCAGAAGTCCTTTGCCTTTGTCTCTGGTCTGTGGTCCCCTTGCTTCCTCTGAACAATGTGGTAGAGCCCATTTCCCTATCTCAAGCAGTCTCTTTCTCAATTAACCACAGACAAATAGCAGTCGTGCCTCTTTGATGTCAGCCCTCATAATAGTCAATGAACCTTTCTCCACTTCAGAAATTCCTTGTCAGCTGATGGAGGCTCAAGTGTCAGCTGTTGTTTTCTCTGCCTACAAATCCAGTCTAATCACTGAATCTCCTTCCGCCCTAGCTGGCATTTTCTAGTGATGTGGGGAGTGGGGGGTGGGGGCAGGCCTCATTCCAGGAGAGGTCAAGATAGCAGAAAGAACCCTCCATTTCGAGCCCTCCAGCATGGGGCTACTAGCCCTTGGGTGCCAGTCTACTCAAGATTGGAGGGTATCACAGGCATTTCAGGTTTATTTCATTTTGTCCTTGAGGCCATTTTCTGGGAAGTGTGATTCTTATGCCCATTTCACGGATGAGGAAATGTGACTCAAACCCATACCTCCCTGTCTCCAGGGCTGAGACAGAACGTTGACAGAAGTTGGCGTTTATATTTAGAACATTGCCCCTAAAAGAAAAATAACAGGCTTCTGTGAAATTAGTAGGAATTAAGCTCTCATTATCGTGTTATGAACAGAAGTGGGCACAAGGACCCCCCACCCCGGGGGAAGTGGCTTATTTAGTTTATAATCTTGCTCCATGTGTTGGCTGTGGGACTCTGGATAAGCCAGGTGGCTTTGCTGAACCTGAAGGCGTTTCCCATCTGACCTGCTCCTTGTGAACATCAAATAAAAGTAATGAAAGAGAGAGTACCTGTCCACCCAGTACAACACCCCTCCCTGTCCACCTGGGTGAGACCAGAGGGTGTGGTACTGGGCACTTCAGCCCTTTACACTTTCAGTGCCCTGAGGATGAGGCAACTATAGCCCAAAGGGTTTCCGAAGTTCCTGCCACTTCTAATACCCTGTGATGCCACGACTTGTTCTTCTGTACAGCCCACAACACCGAGTCACCCCGGGTTCCATCCAGTCTCTGGCTTTAAAGGCCAAGCACTAACCCAATAGCCTTCCTTTGTATTTCTGCCTCCAAAACAGGGTTCACTTGTTAAAACCAACATTTACTGACCCCTTGTGTCAACTGCATGAATTGCCCTATTCTCCACAGCTCTTTGGTGGAGGCTGAGAGGAACAGGTCTGTTTCTCTGCAATTAGAAGCTGTAGGGGAAGTGCCATGCCTCCGTGGGTGCATGTGGGAGGAGAGAGACCGACCCAGCGGGCTGGCACCCCACCCAGTCTTGCCTAAGGAAGGTCGAGGTAGAAACCTCACCGTTGTATGCAATGCATGGTTGCTATCCAATCCGGTGTCCCACAGTTCCTTGCACTTCGGGAAGAAACCCGGATTTTGGAAAAAAACTCATAGGGGCTGTGCAATTCTTTAATATTGTTTTTAAAGTATCAATTATACATCCCTCTATGTTGAAGAAAAAAGAAAAAGTAAATACATAAAACCCACCATCCCGGGCCCTCCCTGGTGGCGCAGCAGGTTAAAGCCCTGCACTAAGAAGCTTAAGCCACTTCCTCATAAGTTCAATTCCCTCCTGCCCCGAGGAGATCCACATGACCCGCCTGCTGCTCCCCTCAGCAGTGTACTTCATCGATCTGCCTGTTCTGCTCCCCACTCTGTCTCTGGTGAATCCTCTCACCCTCCGCATCTCTGGCCTATACCCCAGCTCTGTACGAATAAATAAATAAATCTTAAAAAAAAAAAAGAAACCACCATCCCAAGAGAATCCATCAAAGGGCATGATGAAGGCAGATGTCCTGCCGCTTCCTAGCTGTGATCTTGGGCAAGCGCTGTCTCCCCTGAGTCTCCTTTTCCTGATGCACAGTACGGGTATAGTGGGGTGGTGGTAACGGGACCTACTTCCATGGCAGGGTCTCCAAGAACCATGTACACAGTCTCAGAGAAGAGAGGTTTTAAGGGCCGGTTTCCAGGCGAGGCTCTGAGCCGAGGGTGGCAGAGGGGTTTTCACAGGCCTAGGCAACGAGCACATTCGGCAAGCCTGGCCTGGAAAAGCACTCTAAAGAAATCAATAAACAAATGTGGGCTCTTTCCCTTAGGAGTGTGTTTTTACTCCTTGCCCTAGTTCCCGGCCTCACTATTTTTAGCAGTACTTTAGGTTCTCCCAATCCTGAGCTCACAGTACAAAACAAAGACATCACGGCCACTCGCAGCGCCTACCTGTCTCAGTCCTGGCCGCTCCAAGGTGAGCCAGGAAAATCAGCACCCTGAGCAGCCTCATCCTTGAGGTCCACCGGCCAGGAGCCATGGAGTTTCCAGATGCTACTCACGTCAGTTCCTGTGACTGAGCAGAACTTTCCATCCTGTTACCTTCTGTTCCCAGTTTTCCAGGGCTCCTCTGGCCTTTGCCCAGCAGCCGGTGAGCTTGCTCTGCCTGCCCAAGAAGATGCACCAACCAGGTCTTGGACTCTGAAGTAGAAAGCAGAACCTGTTCTACCAGTTTCTCAGAGCCTCGCAGTACAACCAGAGACTGTTCTCCAGGAATCCACCAGCCCTGTCACAGAGAGGCAATATCGTCTGCTTTCCGAGTTTTTACATTGGCCCAACCGTGCAGAAAATGCCTGTGTAAAATTGTTTGTCTTTACCCTCGATGCAACATAACTCTAGTCAGAGACAGAACAGCTCCACCACAGATGAAGCAAAACTAAGCCACTCATTTATTCGGGCCACGAACCGTGTCCTGGTGAGATGGAAGGGACCCAGGGCAGCCCTGCCTTCAAGAGGGAGCAGTAAACCACTGGGCCACACAACCAGTGAGCATGCTAGCAGCTGGACTAGCTCAGAGAACTCAAACTCAGACTGAGGAGAAAGAGGATTCCTGGAGGAGGTAGGGCATAAAGTCTTTTACTGTTGAAACTGTCAAAACAGAACCAGTAGTAAAGAGAAAGTATTTAAAAAAAAAAAAAAAAAGTACCCACCCCCCAGCTACAATAATTAGGAATTTATGGCCCAATTTTTCTTTATGTTATCCCTTCCCCACCCCCACCCCACCCCCCCTGCCCCAAGCCTACTTTAAAGCAAATTCCAGAAACATTGTTTTGCCCATACACACTTTAATATATATATTTAAAAGATAAGGACTCATTTCCTTATAAAATGATAGATCAAGTCTGAAAAAAATTATAGTAATGGAAACTGAAACAGGCCAAATGGCTTAATTAGTCTTTGCCCCTAAGATCTTAAGGGAAAAGGGAGAAAACTTATCTTTCTTTTGAAACTTTTATTTTAGACACTGCCTCTCTGACTGCCTGAGCAAGTAGAAGCAGGCGACCTTGAAGGAGTCCAAGGCCAGCTAAGACTAAGAAGGCAGGGGAGGGGGCCACTGAGAGGCAGGGAAGCACCAAGAGAAATTCAAAACTCTAGTTGTCTGAAGAAAAGCTTCTTCACATTCCTTCATTTATGAGCTGCCTGTTATTAGCCAGTGAACTTTGGCCAAGTCCATATTTCTTTGTCCCAGCCCACTTTTTAGCCAATACTTTTTTTTTAAGATTTATTTTATTTATTTATGCATACAAAAGCTGGGGTACAGCCAGAGGTGGGGAGGGGTTGAAAGACAGAGTGGGGAACAGAACAGGTGGATTGACTGAAATACATTGCTGAGGGGAGCAGCGGGCAGACAGAAGTCTGCTGCACCATGTGAGTCAGTTCTCAGGCTGGTGATCTGAACTCATATGGCTGTGGATAACCTCACAGTGCTGAGACTTAACCCCTTGCACCACTAGGAAGGCCTGTTAGCCAATAAAAATTAACTCTTTGGGCCCTTCCTGGTGGTGCAACAGTTTAGGACACAGCACTATAAGCTAGCCGAAGCCACTTCAGTGTGAGTTTGAGGAGGTGATCCTCATGGCACAGCAGATCTCTCCTGTCTCACCCACTGCACTCCTCAGGAGTGTACTTTGTCAATCTGCCTGTTCTGCTCCCCATTCTGTCTCTGGTGAATCTTCTCACCACCCCTACACCTCTGGCTTGTATCCCAGTTCTATATGCATGCATAAATAAATCTTTTATATATA